TCTGAGTCGGAGCTGTCTGAGTCGGAGCTGTCTGAGTCTGAGCTGTCTGAGTCGGAGCTGTCGGACTTAGATTTAGATTTAGATTTAGATTTTGAGTCGGAGTCTGAATCGGAGTCTGAGCTATCTGAGTCAGAACTGTCTGAGTCGGAGCTGTCTGAGCTATCAGTTTTTGATTTTGAATCTGAGTCGGATTCTGAGTCTGAACTTTCCGATTCCGAGTCTGAGTCTGAATCTGAGCTATCACTATCGGAGCTATCACTGTCAGAATTATTAGACTCGTCTGATGACTCATTGTCACTTTCCTTCCCAGCCTCTTTGTGCTGAGTTATTAAGTCTTCTAATTTATCTTCAGTGCTTGGTAAATCAATAGACTGTTTCGATATCTCTTTGGTCAATGCCTTGGAAACCTTGGCTAATTCGGCATTCCTTTCTAAATAATCAGAAATTAAAGATAACACTAATTCCCTTGAAGCCATCTTGTATTCAACTCTTGCTATCAATTATCACAGTTTACAGTTCAGTTACTGTAGAGTAGGTAAGTTGAAGTAGATAGAAAAAAATTTAAGATGAGAACAGAAATTAATTTTTAAAAAAAAAAAATTAATATATCACGTGATATATGATATTCTTGCATTTATTGCAATCTAAATCATATGTGATAAATATAACTATTGAGTCTTTAAACTATATCAATAAAATATCTCTATATCTATGTATTATAACTTAGGTGCTACGGCACCGTTTTTCTTAAGCATGTCTAATCTTGAGTCCGAAAGAACTTTTCTATAGTTTTTACCATATTTCTTAACAAGGTATTTTTCATCTATGAGCGCTTTCTCTGAGTATATCACTTCTCTTTCTTGTATAAACAGAGTGAACAACTCTATAATTCGATCAGGATCTTCTCCATTTACTAAGTGTTTAGCATTTGGTAAGTTGACACCTTGAACAACTTGCAGGAGACTGTTTCTAATAAAGTGTCTGGCTTCACCACTGGAAATATCAAGATCACCGACAACATGGAATACTGGGATTTCAACTTGGTTAAGTATCGCCATACCATAGGGAACCGATTTGTTCATCCCCCAGTACGTATGAATTTGCGATGCCACAGTAGTGTTCAACTTGATTTTTTTGTACGCTGCATTGGGTGATTCTCTAACTGCTGTAGGCAATTCATCCTTCACCATACATGCCAAAACACCTGGATGGAATCTCCTATAGAACGAACCATTCCTGAGAAAAGTTTCTATTTCTCTATACCAATTGCTTCCATCTTGTATATCAAATTCGTCTTTCATGTAGTTACCTTCGTACCAATCTTTAAACTCTTTATCTCTCTCGGCGTACTCAAAAGGACTGACATGAGCAACGGGATTTACTACTATACATGAGTCAAATAATGCTGGTGCTAAATATGCACTATAAAGGGTAATAAATCCACCCATAGAATGTCCTATCATTATCGATATCTTATTCTCAGCATCAACAAATGTAGCTGCTTCGTCTTCTGCCAAAACTTTTACAACATCCTTCGAACTATCCCGCCAATCATAAACATATCCCAATTTTTCCCTATTTAATTCCGCCGATTCGCCATGGTTTACAGCATCAAAAGCACAAACTACATTCAAGTGTAGGTTAGTGCCATTATCCTGTCCCGAATTGAAAAATTCAAATAATTTGTCAATATGATAATGCCATAATCCTTTATTCATACCTGTTCCATGGAAAAATACGAGGTTAAGCTTAGTTTTAGACAGCGACAAGGTATTGGACTTACCTTGGTACCTTCTGTAACATATCTTTAATGTGTTATCTTCCACACTGTCCAGTGATTTTTCTAACAAAACAGCTCCCTTCTGTCTTGGAAAATTTGCCACAGCTGCTTTAACTTCATGCGTATATAATTCTGGTCTATTTGGATGCATTGTGTTTAAACATTTAATACCGACATCATAATGAAGAACGTTGGTACTATATAAGCTGTTGTTACCCCAAGATTCAAATCTCGGAAAGAAGCTCCGACCTCGGTTGAATTTATATATTAAATATAGAACGGGTATATGTTTATGTTTCTAACTTGAAAGTATGCTTGAGACTATCAAACAAAGTATGATATATTTGACGTATCTGTCTTGAAAGCATTCTTACAGTATTTTAAACCTAGTAGGAATACATCATATATTTGTATCCTGGAAATATGGTTGCAGCGCACTCAAGAAAAGTATGTTTGTATCTACAATATGTAACTGGTTTACAATTTAGAATTATTGTGCTTTCTTATTACCTCTTTTACAGATTGTTTGTTCATAGATGGTCAAGTTTGTACGTTGTGCTCTAAAATTTTACCCTAATAATCTAGCTTTTACCCCAGCTTCAAATCTCGGAAATATACCAACGCTATTATAAAACTTTATATATTATATTGTCTCTACTGTATGTAATTGATTTATAATTTAGAAGCTTTTTGCTTTTTTGCCGCTTCTTTTGAAGCTTTGAGTTGTTCGTCTATGAGAGACATTGTTAAATCCCATTGACTCTTCAAAATTTCACTCTTATTACCACCATATTTAACTTCTGGATCGTTTGGTCTAATTTCTATAGCAGTATTAACTCTCTTCTTAATAGTATCTTCGATAATTTTAACTAATGCATCCGGATCATTTCCATTAACTAAGTGCTCACCCTCAGGTATGTCAATTGCATCCAACAAATATTCTTTTGGTACAGCATCACGAATAAATTTAATACTCTGTGGGGGGTTCCAGGTAGCCTTACTACCGATCACATGGACAAGTGGTACTGTCAAAAGTGGAAATATCTCCATAACAAGAGGGATTGATATCCTAGCAGAATAATAAGTAGTCATTTGATTTGTTGTTGAGGCTTTGGTCATGAACTTAGTCTCTTTAGTTTCGGGATCAACATATGTTGCTTTCTCATCTTCCATAAAATCTTTCAAAACTTCAGGATGAAATGCCTTGTAAATAGAAAACTTGGTGAAATAATCATTATACTCTTCTTCACTCTCAAATCTGTCAATTAGAATCGAAGATAGTTTGGAGAAAATACCGAGAAAACGTCCATCAGTCTTTGGATCCATGAATAAAACTCCCTCCACTGGGATAACCGCATCGAACATGCTTGGTTCGTAGAAACCCGCTACAACCGCCATAAATCCACCCAAAGAATGTCCAATCAAAATGTTCTTAGTGCTGGCATTATTTACAAATTCATTTGTGGTTTGCTGTTCATGCTTAATAACTTGTATAATGTCTTTACTTCCGTCTTCCCATTTATATACCCAGCCGATCTTACCCTCATTAAGCAATGAGGAATCACCGTGTCCGATTGCGTCAATTGATAAAACTGAATTCAATACCCATGTTGATGCTGATTGTGAATGTTCGAACAATTTCTTGATATGGTAATTCCAAATAGACTTATTCATTCCAGTACCATGTGCAAATATTAAATTGACTTTGATCTTATCTTTAGAGATGGCACCTCTAGCAGTTAAGTACTTGTTGTACACAATTTTCAATCTGTCATTCGATAGTATCGTACTGCCTGGGACCCTTGGAAAAGCGGCATCTGTTGTTTTCTTCTCAAGTGTATATAATTTCGACATGATGGTCTTTGATTTGCAGTTTTAAACATATTTCATATCGGTGCAACCGACACTATTTATAGTAGATTCTCCGCAATATATTAACCTCGGCTAATAAGGTGCAACCTCCGTTGAAGACTTATTAATACCGAACTATCCAGTTTTATACTTCTAGGATATATCATTACTACAACATCAAAATTTGCTTGTGAATAAGTACTAGCACTTATAAAATTGTGCTTGTTCCTTGCTACTTCAGTTTTTTTTTTAGTGTGGAGCTGATCGTAAAAATTTTTTTTCGGTTTTATAATCTAATCTACTTTAAGTCATCATACTATGACTTTAACATCGTCTACCCCGATTCGAGTGTTGCGCACTATACAACAAGTCAGACAATGGAGACTTCTGTGCCTCTTGAATAGAGAATCAGTGGGTTTTGTTCCAACTATGGGAGCCTTACATGCTGGACACTGCTCTTTGGTTTCACAGTCGCTTAGTGAAAATGATCGGACAGTGGTTTCGATATTTGTTAACCCATCTCAGTTTGCTCCGCATGAAGATCTAGAAGCGTATCCTAGATCACTCGATACTGACATGGAAACCTTATCCAATTTCAAGGGTAAAAAAGTAGATGCAATTTTTGTTCCAAAGGTTTCGGAGATGTATCCATCAGGAATAACTTTGGACGTTAATAAGCAAAGAGGTGCTTTCGTTTCTGTTTTAGGCTGTTCAGAACAATTAGAGGGAGCTCAGAGGCCACAATTTTTCCGAGGTGTGGCAACTATAGTTACTAAGTTGTTAAATGTTGTAACTCCAGATCAGATCTATTTTGGCCAAAAGGACGCTCAGCAATACGTTGTAATTAAAAACTTAGTCAAAGATTTGTTGATTAACACCAAAGTGAGAGTCTTGCCAACTTCAAGAGAACCTTATGGATTGGCTTTATCGTCTAGAAATGCATACTTAACTGATCCTGCAAAGAAAAGAGCTGCTGTCATATATGAAGCTTTACAAAACGGTGAAATATATTACAATACGCATTCACAAAGTATGCGTGTTAAGTCATCGGAAATAATAGAGCGTATCATGTCAATATTCAATAAGGCGGACTTCGAATTTGAAATGGAATACCTTGCCGTAAGTCATCCAGAATCTTTAGAAGATTTAGAATATGTGGAACCTGGAGTCGGCGCAATTGTTTCTACTGCTATAAGGGTTCCTAAAGAAAATAGCACCGAAAAAATCAGATTGCTTGATAATATTTTGCTCAACTAATTAAATAAAAATACTTATAGAATCTTGTATTATAGAGCCTAAATATATGTACATAAACTAAAACGCTCGTCTTTTATTGAACTTGCTTTTGCTTATACTGCAATTATTATTATTCTTCTTTTTAAGTTTCTTCTCTTGCAATTTAGCTTGGTATTTTACCCTATCTTCTTCCAAAGATCTTTTTAATTGAGCTGGATCCATTAAGCTAAAATCAATATGATCAGTGATTCTAGCTTGAACCTTAGGTGAGACCTCAAAAAATATGTATCCAAACTCTAATAGCCATAAGGGGTCCACGCTAGTAACACAGCTCATATATTCCTTATTGGTTAAAATTAATTCATGATAAACAACATATGCTGGTGCCATACTAGTTCCCCCATTCAAAGCTGATGTCGGATGCAAATACATTTTCATATAATTATGTCGCAAATGAATATATTCTGAATTTCCAGTATTACCAATATTAATCTTTACTAGCTTAGCCAGTTGCTGGTAGAAAGATGCGCAAAGACATTTTCTAATATCTTCGTCTGATCTTGACTTTAAGAGTTTTAGTCTACTTTTTTCCATAATAAGTAATAATTGGTTCTTAATGTCTCTAGCTCTTAATAATGACTTGCTATGGAAAAAGTTTCTAGTACACCAATTTGTTAATCGTTTCATGTTCATCTGTGGTTTTTCTGAATGTGATTTCCATTGATTATAAATGTTAAGCAAAGTTAAATGATCTGACTCCGATATTGAAAACTTCTCACGAATTGCATCTGCTTCATTTGCCCTTTCTTTTGGTCTATAGAAAACTGATGGTACTGATAGCATAGCTACTATAGTTATAATTTCTTCTGAGCAATGAAACTTTGGGTCGCAGGATAACAAGATTAACTTGGCCAACGTAGGCTCCATTGGAAACTTAGACATAGACTGACCCAATTGAGTTAATTCGCCACAATTATCAATAGCACCTATGCTCCACAAATCATAAAGTGAACAGCTGAGTAAATCTTTCGGAGGCGGGTCTAAAAATGGAAAATTTGGAACATCCTCGATCTTCAAGGATTTTAATTGCAACATGACATTACTCAAGTTGGTCCTTTGTATTTCGGGAATGGGTTGTAAATACATTTGTTCTTCAGCAGACCTTTCAGTATATAAGCGATACGCCACACCAGGGCCGGTTCTCCCGGCTCTACCACTACGTTGTTGAGCATTTGCCATAGATATTGGAATTACCTGCAACATATCCATTCCCAATTTCGGATTATAAACTTTTAACTTTACCAACCCCGTATCAATGACATATTTAACACCGTCGACTGTTAAAGAAGTTTCTGCAATATTCGTGGCCACAACAACCTTTCTCCTTTTTAAGTTCGTCTTGTAAAATATCTTTTTTTGTAAATCTGCAGGCATTGTAGAGAAGATGGGAAAGATATCTAAAGGCGGGGGGTTATCTAATGAGTCAAGTTTTTCCTGAAGTAATTCACATGTAACCTCTATATCCTCTTGACCAGTCATAAAAACTAAAATATCACCATCATTAGTATTGTATTTTGCACTGTTTTGCAAATGAATAGTTAAAACCTGTTTAACAGCTGTCTCAACATAATCCGTGCATCCACCTTTGCTAAATAATACATCAACTGGGAAGGTTCTTCCTGGAATGGTAAATTGAGGGGCATTTCCGAAATATCTTGTAAACCTATCAGCATTCATAGTTGCACTAGTAACAATTAATTTCAAGTCCTTTCTTCTTGTTAAAAGTACTTTAAAGAGTCCTAATAGCACATCAGTATTCAAGGACCTTTCGTGTGCTTCATCCATGATGATACAGGAATACTTTTCTAAATCAGGATCCATTAATATTTCTCTTAATAGAACACCATCTGTCATATATTTTATCACTGTCTTACGGGGGTTAGTTTTATCCTCGAATCTAATCGCAAATCCTACCTCGTCTCCTAACTTACAATTCATTTCTTCGCTAACTCTTTTTGCCACAGACATAGCAGCCACACGACGTGGTTGAGTACAACCTATCATCCTTTTTTTGCCCAGTTGTTCTAAATTCGAGCCGAATCCCTCATCGTATAAGTACTGAGTTAATTGTGTAGTTTTACCGGAACCTGTCTCCCCTATCACAATAGTTACTTGGTTTTCTGCAATAGTTCTTAATAAATCCTTTTTGACAGCAAAGGCGGGCAAAGAACGTCTCTGTTCTTGAATTGATAAGTTTTCCTCCTGGACCTCTTCCTCGTTTTCGTCTGAGAATTTGTTTTCATGTAATTTTTCATTGTTACCGTTCGATTTATCGTCGGTTTCAATACCCAATACATTTCCCAATGCCGTACCAGTAAGACTGGATCTCTCTTTAGCTTGTCTGCCCCTTTCGTTTTTCGATTTCCTTTCTTTCACAACCATACTTCCTTGTTTAGCCATTGCAGCTAGTTCGGATTCTGGGTCCTTTATGGGAGAAATTGTAGGCCCTATCCCTCTGATCTTAGATTCGTTTCTATCGTGTCCAATTTGTAAGGATAAATATTCTTTAGAATCATCTAGGAATGGTGGAATTAAATAGTGAGATGTAATAGTTATACGTGAAAAGTCCTGTGCCTGATCCTGGTCATGGTCATAGTCATAATATTCTCCAGTTATATCGTCAAATGCTCCCCCCGTACTATCATGTTTTGTAAATTCTTTAGATCTCTTATTATTAGATACTTTCTTTGTTGTTGCAGTGAAATTTTCCTCCTCAAAATCGTCGTGATTATGATCGAGCTCATCTATTGTATACCATTCTCTATCATTTTCTAAATCACTATCATGGTCAGAAAATGTATCTAGAGGTATGGCTTCTTTGATTGTATCAAATTTCAGTTGTTTTTCCAAATTCGCTAACTCTGAAAGTGAAAGCTTTGCATTATGATCTTTAGTCATGTTTGGCACTTTAGCCTTTTCATTGGGTTCCTTAGAATCGTCCTTGGACGCTGCCTTTGTTGGAGGATGTATCTCATCTTCTTTTATTCTTAATGCATCTTCTTTCTTTATTTTTTTGAATTTAAATTTTGGTCCGTTTGTTGCCTTATTTTCGTGTTCTAAACTCAATTCTAAGGAATCATCAATAAACCTGTCATCATCGTACGGAGATGTATTGTTAGATCGTATCCTTTTAAAGTTATTTTTACCTAAATTAACCTTTGGATTTGGGTCTAGATTGTTTAATTCTTCTTCTAGATCTTCATCGTTGTCAAAAGACAATGCAAGTTTTGGTTTTTTAGTGTTCTTGTCGTTTTTCTTCTTTTCCAAACTATTATTAGGTCGTTTATGCATAGTACCATTATCACTCTTTGCCCTAACTTTCATTAAACGTTCAATTGTGCTTATGTTGTCATTAATCAATTTGTAAATCTCCTTTCCTAGGCTTTCATCATGTTCACTAGGAAACCCCAACGCTTTTGTATATATGAGAAATGCAGATAAAGAATTATTCTTCAAATAAAACTTGATGAGTGTATCAGTAAAACCTTCATTGACAGGCTTATTCCAATGTAACGATAATGTACTTGTAATTAAGGATATGATATCATTATTCAGCAGCATTGCTTAATTAAAGGATTGTAGTTCATTCTTAAATTTTTGAGATGCTCTTCCTCTTCAAGATAGAAGCGAGCATTATCTACAAATCTTATAATTGTCCAACTATATTATCTGATCAAGAAAGCCATGCCCCAACGACGTTATGAATATCAAGAATATAAACAATAGATTATCTATTTACTTTATGCATCATATATTTGTGAAAGTACGAATGTCCCCATCGCCTACAACAGCGAAAGAAGTATATCATTTATATCGGAACTTTAAGAAACTTGGTGGATCTTTAGAATACTTCGAGGTTAGCAGAGGTAAACCTGGTCTCAATACATACAGTAATGAAGCGTCTTTGATATATAATCCATCTTCTCAGTTATCGCAGCTCGACCCATTTAATGGAACAGACGAAAATAAGGAGGAGACTATTGCAGAATTACTGGCCCAACGGGCTAAGTTAACAAGTACGATACTATCAATTTGTGCAATACCACGATATTCTTTCATCGAAAATGATCAACAATACATGAATGGTGAAATTGAAGTACCATATAAATTCAGGTTGAATAGAGATGGATTAAAATACGATAAAAGGTATTCAATATCGTCATCAACTGTAAATAATCAATTTTGTTTCATTTCACCTATTGCAGCATCTGAAGGTGATAGTAAGCATGGAATGAATGATAGCGTATTAACAGATTTCAAAAGTCATATGAGACACAATTTCCAAAAATTCCATAAGTTGGACAGTATTTCGATATCATCGGCCATACCTCATATTAATCACTTAATAGGTAGACAGAAACTAAACCCTAGCATAAATCGAAATGACAGTATTCAATATAGTTCTCTAATGGATCTTCATTCGGATATAAATACATTTGAAACAGAGAAGGAAATAAATTTAAAATTACGAAATCTATCTTTAGGTTTTACAGGGTTCTACGATTAGTATACGTAATATTTAATACATAATATACATAATAATAAAAAATTAGCAATGCAATATGAAATTAGTTTTTAATAGTCAATTTATTAACAGATTCTAAGTCTTTCTCTAAAACGTCATTTAAATGATTTAAACCAACTTGTTGTTTTAAAAGTAATTTAGATAATCTATTGATAACTTCATCATTATTCTTACCGTCATCAATAAGATCTTTTTCACTATGAGATTCTTGATTATTTCCATGAGCGTTGTTCATCGAATTTAATGACGAGTCAAATTGATAGGATAAATCTTCTGACCGCTCTTTTAAAATAGCTAATCTTGCAAATACGTCGTTCAATTTACCCAAAGATCCACTTGGATCATTTAGCTTCTGGTTTAATAAATCAAATTGTTTAGAAAGTTCTTCCTCTTCAGGTAACAATGGATAACCCTTCAATTTTAAAATTGCTAGAACAGTAGCCAACCTTAAAAGTCTCCTCAGTAATTTAACGTGTCTTGCTTTGGCCTTAAGTATTCTAGTGGTGTTATCTAAATCATGCTTTGATGATAAGGACGACTGTTTCTCATTTATTCCATTCAAAAGAATTCTCGACTTTGCTACTTGATCCAACTGAAGTTCAATCCTTTGAGCTACATCTGTGAAAGATGTAACCTTAGTAGGGTAATGATTAGGGCTAGGTCTATTTGACATTGCATTATCCCAATCCTCTGGGGATTCGTTGGATGGCCTTTGTTGATTTAAAAGAAAATTAATTTCCTGGTCGCTCAATTTATTATAGAGGTGGGTTTTCAAGGCACATTTTGCAGAGTTAGGGTCCCATTGCTCTTTTATTTTTATTAACTGATCATTTATAGCGGGAGTATAATTATTATAACTTGATGCTGCGTTATTGTTTGAATTTAACGTCGAAGTAGGGTTGTTAAGATTTGGATTGTTGAGCTTATTTTTAGTATCGAATAACGGTTGTGAAATTTGATTGGAAGCTTGATTTTGGTTACTCCAGCCGAATGATGGTTGCTGATTGTTGGTTGTATTTTGTCCAAATAATCCTCCTGTTTGCTGAGAATTTGGGGGCTGTTGAGAGTTACCTGAACTAGTGCCAAATAAACCGCCACTTCCTTGATTCGTATTCGCGGAGGCATTATTATTAGATCCAAATAATCCACCCCCTGTAGAGCCACTAGTATTATTGGAACCAAAGAGACCACCCCCAGTATTAGATGTATTATTGGATGATCCAAATAATCCACCACTCGATGCTGGTTTATTTCCAAACAAACCACCAGTAGCACCTGTGTTACCAGAGGTAGTATTATTATTAGCATTGTTAGAGCCAAAAAGACCCCCTCCAGTATTCGAGGTATTTCCTGAAGCTCCAAACAACCCTCCGCTTGAAGCCGGTTTATTTCCAAACAACCCTCCACTAGGATTCGTTGCATTGTTGGCATTATTGTTAGAGTTGGCATTGGAATTGCCAAATAATCCACCGCTGGCATTAGGAGCATTAGGGGCAGAACTGTTTGCATTATTTCCAAATAATCCTCCACTAGGAGCTTGCTGGCTAGCATTGTTTTGTGAACCAAATAATCCTCCACTAGCTGGTTGACCTGTGTTGCTACCACCTGCATTGCTTGACGAACCAAAAAGACCGCCATTGGTGGCATTTGTTGAACCGCCTTGAGTATTGGTGTTATTATTCGATCCAAAAAGCCCACCACCTCCAGTATTGGCGTTAGTTGAAGTATTAGCACCAAAACCAGGGTTTGTTCCTCCTGTTGTTGAACCAAACCCTGTTGAAGCAGGTTTTGCTCCACCAAACAACCCACTTCCAGTATTGTTATTTGAACCAAAGAGCCCACTACCTGAACTATTAGAAGTCGACCCAAACATGACTTATTGTATCAATTGATCAATTTATTAGCGTGTCTTACTGGAGATGTAGTTTATTATTATTTGAGGAATTTTTTCAGTGAGATCAGTTCCAGTGTTGCTTATATAAGCTGTCAGATACAACATGTTATAAGTTTTCAACATGAATATAGTAATGTTTATTAATTGATACGTAAATATGTAATAATAAGAGATGGATTAGATTTCTAAACAGTTGAACAATGTGAATAAAAAATTTTTACTAATAGTAATAATAAGAAATACTTGAAGAACAAAAAAGATATCTGGCCATCAAAAAATGAGCTTTAGAAATTAATTGGTCGACAGCAACGATTCTTAATATGATAATGCATGATAGTTTATGACTCTTTCTAATAAGATAAGACATGAATAAGAAGGTTCAACATTTCTTCCTTATGGAAATTGAATAAAAAAATTTTATCATCCTTTTCAAAGTGTAGAAAAACTTCTAGAAATAATATAGTTCATTAAATAGTGTTCTAATTATTAGCTTCCTTTGCTTTCAAAAACTCGGCGGTCTTGGCCTTATCTTTAGAAGTACCTTGGTAGATTGGATTGTTGTTTAAATGAATTTGGTTTTCAACATCAGGGATTTTCTTTTCTAACTTCATATTTTGGAAAATACATTTATTTAAAACTGATTCGGAGTTTCTACAGTGTCCCAATCTATGGTTTTCTTGTTCCAAACATTCGTAGTGTAACTTGAACTCATCAAAACAGTATTTATTTATGTCCGACAAGACGGAAATGGCACATCTGGTGACTCTTCTACCTTCCTTTAAACATTCTAAGGTACCTCCATTGTTCTCATCTTTACACATCATGAAATCATCATTATAGGGTTTACATTTAGCGCCAATGAAGTAAGAAGCTGATAATAATGGTGCAGAGGTGGCTCCGACTTCGTCAACCTCTGGGATATCCTTTGGTAAAGTGTTCTTATCAACGTTTTCCCAATTATGTCTTCCAATAAAGTAATCTCCCAATACCATTTTAAATTTAGATTGATAATCGTCTAATTCTGATGATAACTGAACTGAATATATTTTCATATTACATTATAGTCAACTTAATTTGTCGTCTCGTGGTTGGTGCTGGAAATTACCAAGAAAAATTTCCCCAGTATGATGGTGCGCGTAAATTATGGTACACATGTCTATATCTCTACAACTATATACTAGTCAGTTTGCTATTCATAATGCTTATAAAATCTCTTTCATGCCCTGTTATCTTGTAAATATTCAACAATTCAAGTATTACATCCCGGTTGGATATTCTTTTTGACTTAAAGCTGGTTAGCATTTCATCTAAGTAGCCCTTAAATTCGAATTTTAGTGACATTATCTTAACTTTTAAATTCTTATTGACGAAAGACACTGAATCATCACGTTCATTTGACGTTATCAATGCAAAAAGTTTGCTCAACGATAGATATAGAGCTGTTAAAGTTTTCAATTTTGTTACCAACTTGTCATTTTCAGTATTTAAGTCATCAAGATTTAGTATATTCTCAAAATTATTCACATGATCATTCAATAAGAGACATAGCTTTATCTTCGTCTTTAATTCGACTAGTTCCTGTTTCTTCGCTAATGCGTTGGCCACCAAATCATTGGAAACTTGGAAGTTTTTTTTAACCAGCGATAAACTGGTGTTAAAATTCTGCAAATCTATTTGGATATTATGCATTAACTGTAAACCTCCATTTATAGACTTTCCAAGCTTTATGAAGTCCGTGTAGTCATTGTTAACTAAATCCAATAATTCGTTGTTAAGGCTATCTAACAAATGGGTCAAATCCTTGATCAATGAATCTATCGATGTAAATCTGTGGTTTTGATATAAAAAGTCATCAACTTGGAAATTATCACAATTCAACTCTTGTTGAAAGTCTTCCCTATTTATAGTCACAGGGTACGGGAATTCTTCACCGTTTATATAGTTTAGCTGATAATCTGGCCCACTCATATAATCAATTTCCGATATGTGTAAGAGTTCAGGAGTTGGGTATAATTGAAACACAATACGAGTATATCACCTCTAATTATTGTTATATATGTACTTCTAGTTACCCTTTTAGTTAGGGTCCGTTGAAGAGCTCTGTAAGATCAATATACCTTATTTGTGAAATTTCGTGTACGGACCAATATATGGGTGCAATAAAACTTGATATGCAACGTAGTACGTAGAATCGAAAACATGCAAACGCTATTTGAATATATAAGGTGATAAATAATCCAGAAGTTTCCTGAAAGTCATATCTTTTGAATAAGAAGGTAGATTCAGAAACATGAAATGCTTAATTGAAGTTCACTATTTCTCGAGCAATTCACAAAAATTGAATACTTTTACAATTATTTAAGCAGCAAAATTCAAATTTTACAAATTTAGACGATAAGCTCTCTTTCTTTCTAGAATCTAAAGTAAGGGACGGGTTTGAATTTTGTGTAAAAGTCTGGAAATGTTAAACTACAAAACGATAATACTATAGTTTTTCTTACCGTTTGAACAACGCTTTACGATAACTTGCTTGAATGTGGTTTTACCCTATTCATATGAACAGTATCGTGCTAGATGTCGTTCATTTAGTTTTGCACCAATTGTTTAAGTTGTTTAAGCGGTCATCGAATTATCATTTTTTTAATCCATGTCTATTGTTCATCAGATTCACAACCGAAGAACCATTATTGTGGTACATCATGAGACTGACAAACGCATCAATTAACAACAACTAAATACACCAGTCATATTGACGATACTTGTTCAAGAGACAGGCCTTGCATCTTTTTGAAGCTGCCTGCTTATTTTCATTGGTGCTACATTTGGATCTTTGGGTTACTCTGTTTGTTTGCAATGACCAAATGTAGTAATTGTAGAGATCCCTGATTATCACGCCAATTTCTTGATGCAGTATGGAATATGTGACCATAAGCTTTATCAGACATGACATCCTCCAATGAGTATCAAGAATTTTATACAATAGAAATGATAATCTAGAAAACTAGCGATACATCACTAAAAGATACTACGCAATATAGCCACGGAGTTAATAGCAATGTTCTATCAAGATAAGGTTATGAAGGTGTGCGATTTAGACTTTTCTTGGAACTTAAAAAACCTCAATAATAAACGGAATTGTGCGACGTTGTTAACGAGTGCAATTGATAATAGGTAAATACAATATAACCGATCGAACAGATATGGGGAACTAGAGCGTGCTTAAGCCCGTGAATATATAACAGCATCTGTAGATACTCATAGGGTAGTATTTACTCCATGTCGTCACGAGCCCGACCTGACCGACTGCCCGCCAACCAAATCTGTCTTAAGGTTAAATGTCTTTACTTCTTTCTTAATATGCAAAACTCACGTTCGTGACATACTGATAGTGCAATTTTGGCTATCGCACAACATACCACCTATTGTCATGTGAAGAACAAAAATTCTACATACAGTAATATTCCATCTCGAGGACTCTATATTTGAGATTTTTATTCAGCATATAGCAATATAGAGTGGGGGATCTTGAAATACATGAAAATAACATGAAAATAATTCTCCTCAAAAGCTAGCCATCATGATCGGTGATTTGGAACCTGAATACGGCCATCCTCACTATTACTGCCATGCTACAGAAAGCTAGGTGGTTATGATGTCATGTTTTTAATCTCTTAGAATATGGTTTACAGCATACTAAACCTAATTTGGTGGAGTTACCCAAATTTCCTAAAAAAGAAATGTATATACCGGATGCACTAAATTTCAGATGCATGAATTCATGCAGAAAGAAATACTCAAAATTAGTTGGTATACATATACTAAATGCCTAGAATAGCCATATCGCATGCTACTGCAAACTATAATCAAGTTCTAGCAATTCAATTTCTTCTATAATTCGCCATCGGCCGTGCAAGTATCTACGCCTGTGATTTGGTTCACGACTGTTTAAATCAAAATTGTCGAATGACCAGATGTTTGCCACTTTTAGCCACCCAATAGTCTCATACTATCAATGCATGATCGATAAATAGCGCTAGTTTATCTATCATAGGGTGCAACAATAATTGTACTGCGAATAAAGTGTTCCCTACCATCATGCCAATTGTATAGGCTTCCAAACACAATACCGAATCTAAATAATATTCGTGACAGGAGTATTTTTTTTTCCCGCATTTTGCGTTACGATGAGTTTCTTGTTGCCCAATCCAGCAAGCCTATTCTATCCTGGAGATATATACTTGCGCAGTACTTGAGCATGTGTATGCAGTCCATTATTTCACACAAACTAGTCGAATCTATGAACATTGAAATTCCATACTGCAAACCCTTGTACTCAAACAAGTCCAACTGTATACCACTACAATGCAGCTCTGAGCTGCATGAATAAATATATTGACGATAGTGGCAGTGATGCCCACGCTTACCACTCGAGATCAAGCTTCTGATATGACGTAGTATTGTTTCTTTCAACAGCTCGTCACAAGTAATAATACCAGATCCCTGCGACCCGCTTACGATATCTTTGGTAAAATTACAATGGATATTCAGCAAATGTTCATAATAACCTTGATCTATCACTAATCTATCTCACGATATTTCTTATTACTCTACACTTTGGCGTGCGACCGAAACCAGCTATGGATCTTGCCACTCTTGTATATATCCAGGCCGATTCTCTTTCTTCAACTTCTAAATTGTATCTAACACATCTAGTCCTTATTCACTGCCATGGAGTCAACTAACATTTATGTTGACTCCGATTTAAATATGCCCTCGGAAGGTTCATGACATCGTTTATAGTTGTAATTTTCTGGCTTTGACCCAAATAGGTGGCCGCTTCAAACGTTTCTTGAGCAAATTTTTTGCATACCGACTTAACAGCTTGGGGGTCCGTACCTTACTTTTGTGATGCATATTGTTGTGCATTTACTTAAGTTCTCAATCGACGCATACGATGCTGAATTCAATAGGTGTCTCCGATTGATGCATTGTTTCTTTTGTTATTACCGTCACCATATGCCTAAATTCAGATCCCTGGTGCTCACTCTGGGGGTAATACAGCCACATTGAAACTAGCAAATTTTTCATCCGAACACGACCAAGTAATAGAATTTGGGTCCGATAGTATAGATTTATTCTATTAGTAGATTCGAATATTAATACATATTTAATCGAAGGAATATCGCTATTATTTTATTATTTCAAAATTATTATTAAGAAATTGTTCTATACTTATTACTTTTTTTTTTAATAATTTGTTGTAACAGATAGAGTGAGCTTCTGTCCCCTTTATCAATAGTCATAGTTTGAATCATACGAATAAATGTCTACTGCAGTTTACTACTCCAACCATAATATACCAGTCGAGGAAGTGCACGCTAGCCACACGTTGCCTTCTTTGTCGCAGATTATGCCTATTAACCAACAGCAGAATCAGCAAAATCAGCAAAATCAGCAAATTCAACAGGGCCAACAGAGCCAGACGGGAGGTAGTACGGAGCAGATTAGCCCTACATTTGTGAATATTCCTATTAACCAGGGGAGCTACTTAGCCGGAAGTGGAGACCAGAAATTTGTGTATCAATCACAACCATCTCCGGACGTCTTTTCACAAAGTGGAAGTACATCTCAACCATCATCTGCTAATACTACTCCAGCATCGAGTCTAAGTGTAGGTAGCCAATACGGGGCACCAACATCTACTCCAGCTGAAAAGTGTACATGTAAGACGAATACCAATCGTATTCCTAGACCTAGAAATGCATTTATTTTATTCCGTCAAAAGAACCATCAGCTGGTATTGGAAGAAGGAAGTGTCATAAGAACCAACCCCGATGTGTCGAGAGAGTTAGGGAGAAGATGGAGATCACTTTCGGCTTCTGAAAAGAACCACTGGAATAAGTTGGCTGAAGAAGAAAAAGTAGCTCATGCTAAGAAGTATCCAGGCTACAAGTACACCCCCAGAAGAAACGGTAAAAACAAGGGTTGTCCAGCCTGTAGACAAAAATCATTGAAACAGCAACAGGTTCAATTGCACAATCAACAAATGTATCAGTTGCAACAAGGTCAATATCAACAATACATGCAGATGCAACAGCAACAAGTTGCTTCATCTGCCAATTTACAGACCCCAATACCGCAGAACATGACATCAAGTAACCCTGGTGGGCAACCTTTGGTCAATGTTCCATTGACGCAATTCATTGTTCCACCTAACCCTTACCCACAACAAAACTTCCAATTTGCGTTTAACAACGATATGAACGTTATAAACCAACAGCAGTTACAACAACAATTGCAACAGGATAAGGCTTCTCCCTTATCAGCAATCCCTGGGCAGGCAATTCCTACTATTAACCAAGCAAATTCTGAGTTTTTGAATCCTATTAATGCTTCTCAAATGCAAATTAGCTACGATCAAAATCCTCAATCTGCAAGATTCAACTCATTACCAACACCTATGGGTTCAAATTATGGATTTGAGTTTGGTAATATGCATCAACAGTCCTAAACACTCACAACTTCAATCTGACGTTATTTCTACGTCCTTAATTATGTCTGGAATTTAATTAGGGTAGATATCTGCTAGTAAAGTTATTGTATTTTAGTTATTTATTAATGTAAATTCTACATTTTTACGATATTCGCCCTTGGATACGTCTTTGTAAAGTCTATTGTATATATCTATTGCATATATCTATTGATTGAAAAAGCTTGGGTGAGTTTTCATATCGATCAAGATGAATTTCAATGAAAGCCCGTATTGCAAAAGCCACTCCTTCGCAGCTTAATCATTATGTTCCTTATTTGATTTTGTGTGCAAGCACGTCAAAAGGTTCAAACGCTCTCTACACCATTACTGCTAAAATATCAAATATTCCTGCGGATCTAATTTGAAGATTTTGCTCTTGAAATACATTTGACCAACAGCACTTCCTTTTGCAAGACCAGGCTACACGCCAGCATCGCACGACTGCTTTTTAGTTAATTTGGCAGAGCCCCCACGCAACCTAGCAGATTTCACAAGCGTACCTTTACTTTTATTTTACATTAAGGGGTATATGGAAATCGAACGTAATTAATGACCTTGTATGAGGCGGGATTCTATGCTGCGAATATCGGTATAGACATGCGGGATCAGATTACATAAGCGGGAACACTTTAAGTGTCTCCTGGTTTCTTGAACAACCAATTGAAAGTCGTAGCTCGATGTCGTAATGTCGTCATCTTGATATGCATAGATAAGCTCTACTGCCTATTATGTCTTCTATGCCAGATGCTCAAAATAAGAGATGCATATGCTTGCATATGTGAAAATGAATCGGCAAATTGTGATTACGAGCGATGTGTTTTATTCTAAGTCCGTTAGGCCTGAAACTAAGTTTGTAAATAATAGGGGAATGCATTAAGGCCGACATGCGCTTAGGCTGAGTCCTACCTTCAGACGAATAGTGTAGCCTTGCCTGTCAACTTCAAGGTATAAAGAGCCACAAGCCAAGGAAACAGGATTTCGAGCGGATACTAGTCTTCCGTCTATTAAGGCATCTACTAAGGTACCCGGATTAATTGTTGAGGCGGGCAGATGTGCAGGGCGTTTATAGGAAATAAACATTATGGAATTTGTATGCAAGTGTTAAGGTGATACATAGAGGATTAAAGCCGGGAAAGTCAGAAGAACGCCCAATAGTACTCTAGAAGCGTGGGGCGATTAGCGACTATTGTTGTGTGGGATTTTTAGCGGCTATTTGGCGGCTAAACTGGGGATGCATTAGAGTGATACCGAGTTCGACTCTTCATAGCGCTATATATAAAATTAGGCACGGTGGTGAGATTTCAAATGCTTGTGAGAACATAGTTTAAGGTGTGTCGAATAAGGAGGTATCGTAAAGAAACTCCTGGATAGAATTTACAAATCGCTGGTCTAAGACTTAAAATTATAGCTAATGGGTTTTTAGTTATCTGCTTCCTCTAGTAAGACATAATCATACTTCTTGATGTAGATTTGCGATAGAAATCTTAAGTAAGGCATATAATTCTATGTTAATAGCGTTAAAATTGAGTAGAACACCTAGGTAAGGAAGGCTACATGTTAACAGCTTAACTATGGCCACTACTAGCCGCATCATAGCAATATCCCCGTGTGGGACTATATTCCCAAATAAGGCATCATCAAATATTCTACCTTCTAAGAATTCTGGTTAGTCTACTGGTTTAAATATTTGTCGATTGGTACTCATATATCTGAGAATTCTACAATCCATTTAATTTATCCCAAAATTGTAATATTACTATCCTACCATTTCTATTTAGTATTTACACTGGATTGAACCAGTGTATTACTTATGCATACATTTAGATATCTTCTCCAAAATTGTCGATTGAAATTACTTCACCTGGCTTGAAAGGAGGTAACCCTAAGTATGGACAACCGTCGCATCTGAATGCATCTCCCAAGGAGCAAGAGCTACAGCCACCCTTTTTACCTTCAACTGTAAAGTCAATTTCTGCCAAGTCATTATCATTAAATTTGACAGCATTTTTCATCTTTTCTTCAATCTTCATTGCCTCCAAATTTGCCAGCTGCACCATTTGACCGAGTAATGTGTTTTGCAAGTTCAGTTTTTCTGATGTTTCCTTGGCTTCTAATTCCTTCAACCCACAAGTGCAATCTTTACACGCCTTTCTTCTTTTCTTACCATTAGGCAATTCACACTTCTTAGGCACAACCAAGTTGGCAGTACGTGCTTCAGAAATAAGGTCATTTTCATCTATTATTTGATCTTCCTCATCTTCGTCATCAGACTCAGAAAAGTATGCAAGTTTTGTTTCTTGTAACTTACGCTTCGAATTAGCGTCGTCATTCTCCTCATCTGTATTAGATGCTGATGTGTCGGTTAACCCAACAGTTGTCTGTGTGGGTGAAAGTTTCTTGAACGATGGCAAGTTTTGTTTGCTTCCATCACCCACAGTTACCGTCTTCTTTTTCAATGGAATCGATACAGTCTCTCCCGCTGCCTTTGGCTTCACCCATTCGCCCTGTTCGTTCACTATAAAGCCCGACATGATAGCGTCCAAATTTTGGTTAGTGGGTAAATCTCCTTTGAAAACTCCATCTTCAATCAAACTATCATATATAATCGTTATTGTCAGCACTGGCAACTGCCTATTGATTTCTCCTTCATTAGGATTGATATATATCACTTCATTAAATGCCTTGTCTTCCAATTTAACTATCTTATTCGCAACTCTATCAATTATATGTTGTACAACATCTGCAGCGCTATTCTTATTGCTTATTTCACTCTTTACCCTAGTCACTAATTGTTCATCAGTCACAGCCGTTGGATGCAATAATAATAAGATTCTAGTCATCTTTATCTTTCAATTCCACTTTGATTCAAGATGATACGATTTCCAAAACTTATATATATAGACTATTACTAAAATTTTTATATCGATTTGTAATATGGACTAATAAAGCGTAATAAAAAGAAGCAAAAGAAAGAAATCGCGTGATGGGAAGCAATAGGTAGTGTTATTGACAAATCCCACTTAAGAAATATATACTAGTTAAATAGACTATTTTCGCAGAACTTTATAAAATACTCCCACTTAAGAATTAAGAATTCTTTACCGGGTAACTTATGGGGAAATCACAGCGGAATCGGAGTATTTTAGACCGGTATCGGCATACATTTGCTTACGCTGCACTAGTTACAATTGGCTGCAATTTGCATTAACTATACGAGAGTATGACAAATAACAGGAAGTGGAACTATATATAACTATATATTCTATTTTAAGTAGTTTAACGAGATTTTAGCGACGTCATCAACCTTAAGATTATCAACTTTTATGTAGTGATCGCTATTGGGCAATAAATCGACGGAATTATCATGAAGGAAATAATCACCTTCGATATTTAATGCGACACCTTTTACAGGGTGGTTAGTGGACAACTTTATAGTGCCGTTTTCAGGAATAGATACGTCAACCTTGGTGTGCTTTGGCCAGGAAATGTGTTTGAGGGGCTGGGGCCAATCGCTAGTGTTTGAGACCAACTTGCCAGCGGAGTCAACTAGTTTGGCGTGCACTACAAGTTTGTTGGAGTCAATCTTGGTTTTGGTGACTAATTCCGTAGTTTGGTTAGGTTTTAGGGTAATTTTGGACTTGGGCAACTTTAACACCAACTCACCCGTCTCACAATGATATATTTCCACCTCAAGGGTCCCCGAGAACTCCTGCAATGTTGAATTAACGCCCCAGATATCGATGGTATACTCGCGAGGAGCATAGTCATGTAACGGAGCCTGCTTTTCAAGGTCAGGCTCCCCTGGCTGTCTCTGTCTGGTTTCGGTTCTGTAGATTCCCAAAACTAATGGTTGGCATTCTCTCTTGATAGCATAATATGCCAACTTTGGTCTATGATAAAAGTCGATAATGGCCCAACTGGTAACGGGCCAACAATCATTGATCTGCCATACTAATGCCCCACCACATTTTCTTACATTGGTAGAGCCCCATTCACGCTTCCAATTTCTGTAAGCATACGCAAGACAGTCCGATTGCATTAACTGTGTAATGTAAATCCAGTCTGGTAGAGCCATCGATGAAACCAGAAAATTTTCCATTACATACAAGGCTAATCTTCTTTCAAAACCAATGGACTTATTATGGTGATCCATGGTTTCCAGCTGGGGATATAATTGTTTTTCTTCAGTTATACACTCTTTGAGTGTCTTAATATCAGGGAAGGCTAACATTCCAAATTCAGAAACAAACCGACCGACTAACTTTCCCCAATCTTGGTATTTCTCTTGAGTTCCGTGCCACACATTCCATTGATGAATATCACCCTCTGTTGTATCTGTTGTCGGAACCCCTTTGTTAGGACTGATGGGCGACCCAAATTGATAACCAACTCCACTGGTTAATTTTGATACCATATCAGGCAAGATATGTTCATATAATGTTTTTGCAGGGAGCTCTTCATTAGTGAATGTTTTTTTCTTGTATAAATCTTCTGCAACCTGGTAGTCTTCGTTATTTCCTACGTAAAAAACAATGGAACAGTAGTTTCTCAATCGTTTCAATTGATCGGTAACTTCATGAGTGACATTGTCAATAAACTCTTTGTATCCAGGGTAGATGGCACATCCAAACATAAAGTCTTGCCAAACTAAAATTCCCAACCTATCACACTGCTTATAAAGAATGTCATTTTCATAAAATCCACCACCCCACACCCGGATCATGTTTTGGTTACCTTCATCTGCTAGCCTGATTAAATCAATATAATCATCTTCAGTTAATGAACATGAAAATGAATGTGATGGGATCCAATTTGAGCCATTACAGAAGATAGGAATATTATTAACTTCGAAGTAAAATGAGCTCCCATCTTGACCTTTGACAGGTTCCTGGACCAATCTAGCTCTTCTAATTCCAACTTCAGATTCAACAGAATCAAATATCTGATCTGATTGATGCAATTTTGCTACAAACTTATACAAAGGTTGCCCTCCATAACCCTTTGGATACCATAATTCTGGGTCTTCCAACTTTATCAGATTGAAACTATAAGTTTTCGACTTACTTGCTGATTCCTTGATTGTTTTTATGAGTTTTCCAGTCGGTGAAAAAATTTCAACCAGTAACTGGCAATCTTCAGATATAGATTCAACTTCTACCTCGAAACTCAAGTCGGCTTGTAGGTTTTCATCAACGCTTGGCTTTACGTAGAAATCGTTTATTTTAGCAACCGAGTAAGTAACAAGCTTTACTGGTTTCCATGGGCCACATGTAAGAAGCAAAGGGCCCCAATCCCATCCGTAATGGTACTGGGCTTTTCTAGCATGCACTCTTGAAGTCTCCCCATTGAAGCAAGTAAGCTTCCCGTGTTTCTCTTCTAATGCCCTAGACTGTTTTAAGGCACTTTTGAAAACAATTCTCAATTCGTTCAGTTGTTGGAGGCAATCTGTCACATCAAATTTATAAGTTCTGAACATGTTAGCAGTAGTCAAAATTTGCTTATCATTGAGGTAGATAGTAGCAAAAGTGTCAAGTCCTTCGAATACTAATTCTCGTTTCTTGCCAATTCCACCATTAAAGTCGGTTTTATATTCCCAATCTTCTTCTCCAACCCACTGTACTTCCCTCTCGTTTGTATCAATAAACGGGTCTGGGATTTCACCATTATTTAACAAATCGGTGTGTATTTGATTCCCACTTGTCTTTGTCAGACATGGCTTCCACTTCGCGGAGTCTTTGCTGGATTGTCTGTAACTCCATTTCAGTAAGGTCTTGTAAGATGTCTGGGAAGCAGTTGTCATCTAGATTTATATGTTTCTGGTCTGCTCTAGCACAATTGATCAAGAGATAGAGATGCAACTCGCAATATATATATATATATATATATATATATATA